AGAGAGAACCAGTCCTCCATTTTATCGTACTTCGCCATCTCTGACAGCCCACTTCCAGCCTACCGCATGGGAAGATTGGAGGAGGATATTTAGTTAGGTCGAAGTCGGTGAAGAGTTCATCCATACTCTCGGCTGCCAGTCCAGGTTGTGGTAGTTGTGTGATTTGGTAATACTGCCATCACTACTGTCACACTCCGCTCCTTCCACTAATTTTTCAAAAACCTCGATCCATCAGTGGTATGTGCTTGTTGTGAGCAGCAGTGAGATGCAGTGTCGTGGTGACCGAAGATGAACATCTCATAGGAGCTGCGTAATCTCAATAGTAATCCATTTGAAGGCTTTGTAGATGCTTTGAAGAGATTCTGTAGAAGTGTGGTGATGTTATGTAGACGGCCTATCAAGCAGCGACCTGAGTTAAATTAATCGGGCACGGTAATGTGACTGTAGAAGCCGCAGGCCATAAACATGCTCAAGTTCCAAACCCATGTCCCCTGTCGTAACTTCTGCTTTACCCTCCTCCTTCCTTCCTCGAAGGTCCACGTCCTGTCTGTCCTATAACTGATAGAAGTTTGAGACAAAAACGTGGCTTTAATTTGCAAGCGTGAAATTGAACTCATGCTTCCTGGGATCGTTTTGCCAACTCCAAGTGCGTGTCTCCAATTCATACATTTAAGGCACTTTTTACACCTTATGAAGTGTTCCTGCAGATATTGCCTCTTTTTTGGCAGATTGGCAAAATTCCCAGTCATCGTTGGTCTAACGATCATTCTGATCTCCATCACATGTCTCAGATGGAGAATTTAGGCTACACACGCAAATGAGACCTCCCATGTGACTCGACGACAAATGTATCAAGTCAGGGAAGGCGCACGACAATGCTACACTAATGGGAAAAAGCATAGCAAATTACTTTTGCTGCCTTTGCCGAACGCAGACTACTGCGTAAAATTGACCACCTTTCCAATGTCAGTTGAAGTCAACCGTTTGCTTTTCACATTACGCATGAGCCACGAATATGAGAACGAATTTGTAGGGCAGGCAACATTCAACTCAGTTGTCCACTCAGGATTTGATCATCTGTTTGCAATTTCTGCTAAAAGTAGACTCTTTTGTTCTTTAGTTTTGTGAGCATAAACGAGTGCTTCTTTTGGTTGGAACA